TTCTGCGCACTTAAGAAATTAGTAATGGGTGGTCTGTACACAATTTAACTAAATACATATTTTGATTTACAATATAAATATTAAAACAGTACCAACTATCAGCGGAAAACAATGTATCAGAAATCAAGATACTTAAAATTTTAAAAAATTAAATATTTAAAATGACAATACTGCATATTAAGTATCTGTGTACAGCCACTGGATGATCAGCCTCTCCAGGTAACAGGAAGTTTTTTTTTTTTTTTACCCAGTTAGGAGTAAGGGTATCCTTGAAAAGGATATTGCAGGGTTTGGGTGCCACCACCCAGAAGGCCCTCTCTCACTGTCCCAACTAAGGCACTGTTTGCATGACACATCCAGACAGACAGTTAAGGAGTGAACATCTTCCATATCACACATGGCTTTAACCAAAAACACAGATTTACCATGTTTTCAGAACCTGGGAACAGCCACTATTTAGAGATTATGAAAACCAGACTTCATAAGCGAAGATCAAGAAACAATTCATATTTCAGTTTCTGTTAACTCAAAATGATGTGCGTTTCAGGTTCAGACAATGCAGTGAGACTAAGCTATTGAACAAGAGTCATGCACTCTATCTGACCTCTGTTAACAATAAGCAGCTTTATTATGAAGTACTTGTAGCTTCTGAATATTCCTCCTCTTGAATATGTATATTTTATTTTTCAGACAATGCCAACAGGCTAATACTTTGGAATATTTTGGAACTTGAACAGGTTTGTTCAGCTTTATTTTTATTTTTGAAATCTGTGAAAGCTTCCCTTTATTCAAACGGATCAGACTCCCTGGTGATTCGTTCATTCATATGGACAAGAAAGCAAAGGCAGGCAGGCACCATTCCTGGAGTTTTGTTTTAATTGCTGGAAAAATGATTCTATAACAGGAAGCAAAGATGTGGAGGTGGGACTGTTAGCAGAGACTCATTCAAGAGGAGAAGGTATTTCCCTGTACACTGAGGCTGAATGGCATTGTGTGATGGGTGATGTCCACAGGCATGTCTGTCTGGAATATCTAACCATTGAGGATGGTGCTTTTTCTTTTCACTGGCAATGACTTTCTAGGATCCAAGGATCTTCCCCCTCTTGCTACCTGAGATCTGTTACCTAGGAATGTCATAGATTTAATTTGGAACTATGGGTACTTTACTGATGATCTATAGAAGTTCCTTGGATAAGAGGAAGGATGAAACACCTGCCTGCCCCATTAGATTTGGAGAGCAGAAAACAGACAGATCTGATCCCCAGTATGCCCCATCAGTGCTTCTTGAAAGGAATGAGAATTGCCCCAGATCATTGGGGAAACATTCTTTTAATAAGAACTTGAGCAGGAGATTTGTCTATGATCCATCATCACATATGCAGGAGGGAGGTGGTTTGTCTTGGGCTGCCCTTATTTTGGGGCATGCTTGCTTATGGGTGAAATGGGATTCTTATCTGCACTGGTGTTAGCTAAGTGAAAATAAGGAGTGGTATTGACTTTGGTTTAATTACTGCCAACAAGTACCAGTATTTGATTTCTGTTTGGGTGTGTACCTTATGGAGGCTCTGCTTTTTGTGTGCAAAAGAGTACTTGGTGCTTACAAAGTCTGTGTGTGTACCAGACACCTTGCTGCAGACACATGGCCATTGATATGTCTGTTACTGTTCGGATACTCTAGACTCCTGTGCATTTGCAGTGCGCAGGCTATTTCACAGCCTCCCTGCTGTCCTCTGCTCTGTCCACATTTGATCCCTGCACAGAAGCATCAGCTAAAACCATTCTTATAACAATAAATATTTGCTACACTTTCTGGTATGCAGCATTCGTGACAACCTAAGCATCAGCTAAAACCATTCTTATAACAATAAATATTTGCTACACTTTCTGGTATGCAGCATTCGTGACAACCTCACTGTTGGGATGCGTGCATGTGACTTCACACAAGGGCAGCCCGACTACATCTCAGGAAACAACCCCAACCTAGTCCCTGCCTCTCCAAGTCTGGGCAAGGCTCCAGACCGCTCTCTCCTTCTGTTTGGTTCA